ATATATATACCAGCCATCTCATTCAGATACCACAGGGGAAGTAAGCCTGCATGCTGGCTGAATATTTGTTATTGGGGAAGGGGGAAATTGTTTTGTAGCTGGTTTGATTAAACTAGCAATGTGAAGACTCTATTTAATTGGTAACATTACTAGGCCTGTGATATAACTCCAGTAACAAAATGGGATCACTAGTTATAGCATTCCTTTGGTAAGCTTACCCATGTTAGCATGTGACTGACACACACAACCAGAAACCATCATCTTCTTGTTCCCATGACTAACCTGGTTATGACTGTTGTCTCCCTTTCAGGGAGATACAGTTCTGAGAGTGATGTGTGGAGCTTTGGCATTCTCCTCTGGGAGACCTTCAGCTTAGGAGTCTGTCCATACCCTGGAATGACAAATCAGCAAGCACGAGAACAAGTGGAAAGAGGTAAGCCAAAGCCTTGCTGTTTCAAGTTCACATCCCGCCAGGACAGCGGTGTCCATGGTGTGTCTGCTTGCCAGATCTGGGGGAGGAATGTTAGAATGTTGTTTGGGGCATAAGTAGAGAGGAAAATCTTAGAGAACTCTGTGTGAATAAATACCATGAATGGTATGGCTCTTGTATAACAAAAGCAGACACTTGCAAGCATGTCCAACACGTTGCCCACAGGCAGCATGCAGCTGAGGATAGCTATGAATGCCACCAACACAAAATTGTAAACTTACTTAGAACATTATTTTCTTTTTTTGTAAGTCAGTCACACAGTTCTCAGGTGTGAACTGTATAATGACAGTGTCATGCCATGCCACAGGTTGCATACCTACAAGGATGTCAGCCCTTTAAAAAGAGTTTTCAGGAGGAAATTTGAGAATTTTTAATGCTTTTGAAGAAACTGTGGTATCCCCAGATGGAAACAGGAATAACTAAGTGGTAGTAATACCCTAGTGCCCGCTTAGGCCATCTGAGCATTCAACAGAAGGAACGCTCTGATCGAATCACAGTGCCCCAGCATCAATTCTATGTCCAGCCTCCCTTGAGTAGCCTGAGTACAGGGGTGACCTTCCTTCCTTGGGCACATATGCATACCACCTAGCACGGGACTCCAACATGGCCAGACAGCAGCCTGCAAAGAATGTGACTCATTCATTTTAAACTCACTGTTGAATTAGTATTTATAAACTCCCCATCTCCACACTGTCCATAGCCTGTAATTCTGGAAGCAAATACTCAGAACTAAAATATGCATTTGTATATGATATAGCTTACTTCAGACTTGCTGATAAGTGAACACACAAAAATGTATTTTGAACTAAATATATAGCTCTGTAATATAGAATCCTCTATCATGGGGGGGGGTATATACTATACCAATGTGGATCTTTTATTTCTATTCCACTTAACAACATAAAGTACTAAAATGTATAGACTACATCGTGTGTGCCATGTCAACATTTATATCTTAGTACCTTCTGAGGTCTCTGTTCTTCTCTTGAATCTTCAGGATACCGAATGTCAGCACCTCAACACTGTCCAGAGGAGATTTCTAAACTTATGATGAAGTGTTGGGATTATAAACCAGAAAACCGCCCTAAATTCAGTGAACTTCAGAAAGAGCTCACTCTCATCAAGAAGAAAATCACATAATCCCAGCATGGAGCTAAGCTCCACCTTCAGGACTCCATCCTCTGTAACCTCGACTTTATACCACATTACTGCAACCATCTTTGAAGGTTATATTTTTTATTAACTGGGTTTCTAAAATATGTTCCACATTAAAATATGTTAAAGGTAAATTTATTCAAGAAATAGTCCTACCCAGGGCTGTATTAGCTAACCACAGCCACCCTACCGTTTCTGGCCACTGTAAATAGAAAAGTGCAGGCTCTAACTGAGAAGATGAAAGGTCTATCTTTTCACACCTTGGACCATTGATGTTTCTCAAAGGTTTTTCTACTTTAGGCGCAGTCTGTGGGCTGCTGTCTTGCACCACAGGCCTTCCTCCTTTGGTGCTATAAATGGTGTTGGTACCGCATGTTTGCAGGACACGTTCCAACCACAGTTGGCTTTCTACTCTGCCAAGGCGAGATTGTATCGAGAAATACAATCATATATTGGAAACTACTTGGACCTCCCAGGGGGTTTCTTTTCTTTCATGTCAGAAACAAGTCCAATAGGAAGCATCTTGCTCCTGCATTCTGTTTTTCACCTGCTCCTCAGTCCAGGCTGTAGAAAATGATGCATGAACTATCCCCAGAGAGCATGGAGGCACCTGCTTCTAGAGGACATTGTAGAGGACAGGGATGGCAAGAAACATGTGTGACCAGGAGGGCAACTAGGGAAAAGAACAGCTAGCCAATGATCAACAGGAAAAAGAAAAGAAAAATCTGCCTTCCTTCCGGAGTTATGCCTTTATAAAATACACACGTATCCATGGCCTGAAGTCCCTACTAAAGTAGGAATGTTTCAGGTACTCAGAGATAGAGCCCAACAAAAACTTTGTTAGAGACACTTCAAGTCCACGGAGGTAACCACATACTTCTAGTTACACATCTCCATCCTAGAGCAGAATCTCAGAATGGAATTCCGTCACTTTGTGCCAGTTTCTGGAGCTTCAGAATTCGTGATTTTAATTCACACATCCACATACACCTACTGACATGCAAGGCTGCTGTAAGTGAAACAGATGAGTCAGAAGTCGAGAGAATGAAGAAAAGACCTAGGAACACCACCGACCCAGCTCCACTTTTTCCCCTTCACTTCTCGTTGGCAGGTATGCAAGCACAGTGCTGAAGGTGTTGCCTGTGGATCAAATCTAAGACTGTTAAAACTAAGGTTCTGTCAAACCGAGTCTTAGCTACATCCAGGGAACTTGCCCATGATCTGTATATAGTTGCCTCTCAGGATAGTGTGTGTGGCAGATGGTCTCACTCAGGGGTAGATGTAGCCTGGAAGCCTCCACTAAGTTCTCAGGCCTATATCCAGATAAACATCACCTTAGTGATTATTTGGTCTATGTTCATATGAAGAGCTTATGGAATGGAAAGTTCCCACCACCCCAACATTGTTTTGCCTGTGCACATAATGTAGAACTCAGAACTTTAAAGGTTATAAAGGAGGCTACTGAAGAGAAAAATGACTTGTGGTTATCATTTCAATCTCCTTGAATTTTTATACACATTTAGTGATTAGTGCATTCAGACTAAAGTAAAGACATAATAAGCTTACCCTCAAAAGTATATTGCAGTATACAAAGCAGCTTCTTAATCAGCATGCTTCCCCCTTAGGTCAAATGCTGTAAATAAACAGAACTTTCTTTTGATGGCACAAACCCCAGCAAATGAAAGTACAGACTCATGAATTCAGATGAAGTGCTATGGTCTTCAGGCATTTGCCAGCCTTCAGAGGTGAGATAAGACATTTCCCTTTCAGTATTTCCAAGTGAATCTGTCCATAATTCTTGGTCTGAGGTCGGGGGAAATGGAACCAATCTCTCACCACTTAGTAGTTGCCTCAGCACTAAGCTCTCATGAAGAGAGAGGAGGCTTTCACTTCTGAACAAGACCTAAAGCCTAATGCTGGCATTCTGGTGTAAAAAATGAGCATGGCATCGATATTTCACTCATCCAGGCTGTTTGAATTTGCAATTCGCATCATAACTCTGTGCTTAAATTAAAAGGGCTTTTCAAAAAATCATGACATCTGCAGCATTTAAATTCTATTTTATTCTTTGTCCCAAAGCAGACAGTGGTACAGTTCAAGATTAATAACTCATCAGGAGTCTTTCGGGATTGCATCAGTCACATAGAATATTAAATTTAATATAGGCACAAACATTAAGAAAGGCTTATGCAAACCATTTTTACTGTTAATTTTGTTATGCTTGAAGCATAATTTATTCATCCGTTCTGTCACTGATAATTATTGGAATTATGTACTTTAGGAGGCTAATCCACACCCAAAAAGCACACACATAAATACTGTTCTGAATTTGAAAGTTGATTTAGGGAAAGAAGCTGCAGAAATGCACAAAATTCTGTGATTTGTTTAGTAAGAAGACAGTTGTACCTAAAATGGTGCTGGTGTGGATATGACTGAGTCTGGTCATAGATCTTTATGTTACCAATGGATTATCCAAGAGTGGTCTGCAGCACTTGCCACAGAATTCCTTAAATGTGGTAAGGGGGCGGAGCATGATGGTAAACACAGGCAGTCTGACTTGAACCTACATTCCTCAACCTTGAATTACAAATGAACCTTAATGAAATTAGGTAGTTCATTGTTTTTCAAAGAAAGAACACTTCTAATGTTGAATTGACATTCTTCCCAAACATGTGAAACCTAAAATTAATTTTGTATCCCATGTAATTAATTTGTATCCCAAGTAATCTAAGGTTACTTCCCAAAGCCACTTCCTTTTATGGGGAAATGATAAAGGATT